TATTTATTGGTCCACCTAGTTTTCTATTCATTATGACTGGTTTTATATTGATGTATTTGCAGATCAAGTTCTCCTTTCGTTATTATTATTATTATATTCTTGTGTTCTGGGTAGATCTGCTTTTCCCATTCCTTATGGTTATCGTTATTGTATTCGTGGTGCATTTACTTTTCCATTCATTATTACGGTCTTGATCTTAATTGCATTATTTGTAAATCTAGTTTCCCCTTCATTATACAGTTTATGCTATTCCTAACACAGTATTGCCATTTTTGTCACTCTGAAGGTGTTATCCCTGAGATGATGATGATTATTATTGTAATAATCGTAGATTTAGTCATCATCTTCTATCTAGCTTTTTGGTAACATGCATTACTATTATTATCACATCTATCCTTCCATTCATGTGTGATAATCATCTTCATAATATCTCCAATAATAATATCCTGGAGATAATGATCTTCACATCACAGGTTGAAAAATCCTAAATAGAAGATAAAGGGGCCTGGACTCGAGGACCCACACGGTCCCTTCCAGCTCTGCAATTCTAAGATGATTACAGTATTTTTATTTTATCATACTTATTGTTATTGTTTTCATTATTAGTATCTTTCCATTCTAGTGTTACTATTGTTATTATTAGCTTTTTAGTAACTTACATTATTCTCATTACACCTATCTTTCTATTCTAATCATCTTCATAACATCTATAGTAGTAATACATGTTCACGGACATAATGATAATTAGATTTGTCCTTCCAGTTACAGGTATAATAGCCCTAACAGAAGATATTGTTGCCCTCCTTACTGTAATCATTATTTTCATGATTATTATCTTTCAATTCTCATGTTACCATTATTCTTATTAGCTCTGTCTTGGCATTCATTGTGTCTAGTAATTATATTAATAACAAGATTCTTTGTCAGTTTACATCTTTTATTCTTATTATGCTGGGGTGTGGGTGCAAATGTGTTGTCTCTCAGTCTCCCCCCAGCCCCAGAATCTGGTGTTGGGTGGACCCAAAATAGAATTTAGCACTTTAAAATGTCTCTCCTTTCTATTTATTTTATTTTATTTATTCAGCTTCTCTACCGCCTATCTATCTGGCTGCAAGGCCCACTCTGGGCAGTTCACAACACAAGAAAATCATGACCTTTTAAAACGTATCCAACACAATGATTATGCAAAAACCAGAATTTTTTTTAAAAGTCAGAATTACGCCATGAATTCACAACTCACCAAAATGACATCAACATAAATATCATGTGTAAATCTAGCTTTCTAACTACAAACATGTGTCTCATGCCAGAGTGACAAAGGTTTGGGGGTGTCTTTCTTTCGTCTCCAGTTCCCTAACTTTTGGCATCTTTAAATTTTAGATTTCTTTTAAAATCCAGATCCATTTTTGTTTATTACAGGCCTGCTGAGTATTAGGATCATTCAGCAGCCCGCTTTCACCCGTCAAAAGAGACCGAGCTCCTGGATATTTATGGCAGATTGCTTTGTGTTGTATTTTTGCATCCTTGAATTTCTCAAAAACCCTATAAGTTGCAAGACCCCATAAGTCGCACACCTTCACAGCACATTACAACAGTGTCCGGCTTTCTAATCTGCAGGGCGATCCCAGAATAAATTTCTAGATGAAACTGTGAGTTTGTTTTTTTAACTATCTGGGAGAAATTTCCATATTCTGGACCAAAAGCAGATTGGAGATATATATATATATTCTTTGCCTCTTTCCTGCCCATCTGCCCAACGGGACGAAACGCCGATTTCCTTCCCATTCTTGTGGCAGCTGGTTCCTTCCTGAGTCACAGAAAATAGAAAGCAAAACGAAAGCTGACCTGCCCTGTGTTTCTGGTTTACTTTTCAAACAAAATGGCCAGATGTTCTCCAAAGTAAACAAGAACGGTGGGGGGGAAAACGACAGGGCAGCTGGTGAAAGATTTTTTTCCTCCTCTTAACACTGGGAAACTCCTTGAGGGTCCCTAAAATCCAAATAAAGGAAAATACAATATCGTGCGAATCTCATGGTTCATAATTTTGGTATAAATTAATCTTCTAAGCAGAAGACCTCATGATGTAAACCATATGTCTGGGTGACTCTCTTATCCTTATTTATATGTCTGCTATAGTTCTTTAACCCTGTAGTAGCAACTTGAGTCGGCGTACCTGTGGCTCCTTGGTTTTGAAAATGGGATTATGTGCCTTGGTAACGAATGTCTTCGTTGCTTGACCTTAATTGACCCAAGCGCAAGGAGTCATCTGAGACTCGAAAGAGGTTACCAGGATCTCTCTCGCTTTGGCAGTCGGACTATTTAAAACTTTTTAGCGTTCAGAAGGAATGGGTTGGCCCCGCTTCTCTTTTACTCCCAAAGACAACTTTGCGGGATCCTGTCCTTTTGCTCGGTTTTAGGGCTGAAATGTCCTCCTTGTAAAACGGGGCTTCTGAAACCTACCTTCTGAAAGGCGCGTAGTGTACAAGAAGATATTTTTTTGCACTTCGCAGGTGAACTTCCCACTAAAAATAACCTTTAAAGAGAAAGCTGGCACTGATTCTCTATCTTAAAATAGGCATATTTTAAACCCACATGCTCGGTTGGTGCAAACGATCCGCCATTGATGGGAAACAGAGCAATGTCTGTTTAGATGCTTCCAGTTTTAGACTGGGATTTCTTAATGGGTCCCAAGTCAACCAACTTGTGGTGTCGAGAGGATGGACAATATAATTTTTATTATTTCCCGTCTGATCTTCTCTTATTCCTTCCCCAGCTGTAACTCTAGAACTACGGTTCCCAACCTGGAGGTCCCCCAGCGTTTCTTGGACTACGACTCCCAGAAACCGTGGTATTTAGTGGCAGTTAGGTAGAATCGATTTCTCTTTTTCTTGCAACCAAAACAGCCTTTGTTTGCTGACTGTCTTTCTCCCGAGAAATCCAGCCCCGTTCGCCGTAGCTATATAACGAGACGGATCCTTTGCCTTTAGTATCTCTCAGCTGTCGAATCAAAGCAAGAGATAAGAGGGAAATAGCCAGGGAGTGGCTGAGAAAGTTGGGGAAGTTTGCAATCCCTGCATTTAGGAGAGAAATGCCCATGTTTGCAAAGCAGCTACTCAGGCGTCCGTTGCTTTTGATAATTGCAAACCGCTTGCCAGCAGCGTCGGGGATAATTACGGATTTTGGAACAGTCTTGAGACGTTAGATTAGACGTTTGCACCGGGACGGCGTCCTCCACTTACCCGTCGTTTTAGAAAAGGTTGTCGGGGATAATTATGGATTTTGGAACAGTCTTGAGATGTTAGATTAGACGTTTGCACCTCCACTTACCCGTCGTTTTAGAAAAGGTAGCTTGCTGCTTTGGGTTTCGCCTGATAACGCTCCCCCTTTGCCTGTTTTTATTTATTTGGGAATTGCTGGTTCATCTACTTTCTGCGCACGAGCCCACACTCCAAGTGGCTGTAAAAGGGGAAAACGCGATGATAACAAATAACCTAAAACAGGATTCCAGAAGTGATCCCCCGCGGATACAGGGGACCACCTTATGCACTTGAAAGCTAGACTCATAAATTGATTTAAACCATTTTTAAGGGATTCCAGGATCTTCAACAAACACAGCCTGGAGGCCCAGATTTCTTGTTCGGTTCCAAGCGCAAAGGGACGGCAAGAGAAGGCCGGGTTGACTCTTGACTAATGACGCGCTGTGCTTTTTCTCTTATAGATTTCCTCGGTTAGTGCCGTCCGAGCCCAGTTCGGTGTGTGAGTCATGGATTGTGTGTGTGTGTGTGTGTGTATGGGTGCAAATGCATGCCTGGATTTGCCATGCTTGATTTCCGTTTTGCTCTGTCCTTGCCCGACTCTAAACCAGCCAGGCTGCATAAATAAATGGCTGCCTTGTAGCGTGACGGAGGTGGGTGGCTACCCGTTAGCCGTGAAGGTTGCTCTTGGGACATAGACCGTAGGATGATTTTTTTCTCTGCCCATTTTATCTTTGCTAATTAACTGACGGAATGAAAATCACTCTTGTATGATTCCACAAGGACTGCGTTTCTTGGATTTTTGATTTGCAATATGACCTCCTTATCCATGGGATCAGTATCCGCTGATTCGCTTGTCCATGGTCTGAAAAATATTAAAAGAAAAATCTCATAAGTAAATATATTTCTCACGATTAAATTACTAGATCTGGCCACTAGAGGGAGCCGGGGACCATACTATAGATAGTGTTAGCTATCATCCACGTTTTCCAGCATCCGCAGGGGGGCTTGGAGCTGACCCCCCGTGGATACGGGGGTCTTACTGTAAGCTGCTGCTTCTGTGTCCTATGCAGCTGCACCGTGGTGTGTCCTGAAAAATTTGCGTAGATTGGTCTTCTAGGCTCAGGGTGGCGATAGGGTGAAAGCGGCTGAGTTTTGGGTGGAATTTCTGAATGGACGAATTTCTGGGAGCACGAGGGATTAAAAACTGGCACAAGTAAAAAGATGGTGGATGGCTTGGACCTTGGTTCTAATCATCTATCTAGCGGGACCGCCCTTAGGCTAGGCGGTGGGCAATGCCAGGGAGCTTCTGTGTTCTGTGAAGTCACTGCTGTCGCTGGGGGAGGCAAGAAGAATCCCCCCTTGAAATAGAGTTGACGAGCCTTGCGCCTCCCTGATGGTCCTAGACTACAACTCCCATCACCTCTTAAGTCCTTGTTTAGCCTGGTTGGGAGAGTTTGAAAGCCAGAACTTCTGGAGGGGGGCAAATGGCCTCCGGGGTCTTTTCCCCCCGAAAGGTAAGTCAGCCTCTTGGAAGCCTGGAGAGGTACGATTTCCAGGAATATAAAACAGCTTTAGAAGAAAAGTAAAACACAGAAAAAATTGGGAAAAATACAGGGTTTCCTTTCCTCCCCCCAAAAAACCCATTTTATATATGGGTTCACAATTTCTGGAGATTTGACACCTCCTCTTGGTCCCTGTGGATTTTGCCCGCCCGTCCTTCATACCCCCTTTTTTTTTCCTTGGCAGTTCTTGCGGGTGACGAAGCAGTACCTCCCTCACGTGGCCCGCCTCTGTTTGATCAGCACCTTCCTGGAAGACGGGATCCGCATGTGGTTCCAGTGGAGCGAACAGCGGGACTACATCGACGCCACGTGGAACTGCGGCTATTTCCTGGCCTCCGTCTTCGTCTTTCTCAATCTCTTCGGGCAGTTAAGTAAGTGGCGCCCGGCGTCCTTTTTTCCCTTCTCAGAAAGCGGAGGAGCGTTTCTTCTCGGGCCCAATCCTGGCCGCCTCTTGCCCATCGATTCTGCACTTGAGTCGCCGCTATCCAGAAGTTCGCTTGGAATCTAAGAAGCTAGCCGGAGAGCTCGGGGGTCTGGAGGTTGCGAGTTCAAATCCTCTCGGACTACAACTCCCATAAATCCTCACCATGGGCCGTGTCGACTGGGGCATTTGGGCGTTGTAGTCCAGAAACCTCTGGGGCCCTCAGTTCAGGAACGCCCGCTGTAGCAGGTGATGAAGGAACCCTTTTACCCGAAACAGCTGGTGCCCCAAAATTTTGAAATTGACAGGAGCTTCCTGTATTTTGAGGATCAAGAAGAGGCAGAATGTTGAAATCCACCTTTAGGCCTTGACGAAGACCTTCTGCCTGTGTTCAAGACCCTTCTCACAGAGGAAACACGATTCACCAGCACCCTTAATTTGTCTTTTTCTCTCCCCCCCTTTCTTGCTCCTTCTCAGGTGGCTGCGTCTTAGTGCTGAGTAGAAACTTTGTCCAATACGCTTGTTTTGGTTTATTCGGAATAATAGCGTTACAGGTAAGACCTGGCTCACAAAGGAGAAATCCAGAACGCTGTGTTGGAAAACGGCCCCCTTACCCACCTCCTCTCCCTATTCATTTTCTGCTACTATGTTTTGATCCGACCTCTAAATTTTATTTTACGTCCCCGAGTTTGCAGTCATATGATTGTCGAGTACGTAGGATCCGTTCAAGACTCAGTGGGTTTGAACTGACCTGTTTTGTAGGTTCTTCCCCCCCCCCCGCTTTTTCCATTTTTTCAAATGTTTTATAGTATGCTTTTTTTTAATGTGTTGCTCTTTGACATAATTAGAGAGTCACTCAAGCGGGCCAGTACTTCGTGTTTGGATTTCATAGAATCATAGCAAAAATCATACAATAATGAAAAAACAGAAAACTATATTTTAGGCATTTTAATGGGGTTGGAAGGGGCTTTGAAGGCCACGGAGTTGCACCCCCCACTCCTTCAACCCCTCCCCTCTTGTTTTATGGGATGCTGCTCATATAATGGATGTTTTAAGAGAGGAGACGACAGGTTTACCTTTGAATTGACGGTTCACGGGTAAAATCCTGTTAAGGGAATGGCAAACCACGATGGCCACCGGATAAGTGCCCCTTCTCCCTCCTGCGGGGCGATCTTCTGCGCCCCCCATGGAATCGTGCTTGCAAGATCGGGTGCGTGGCTGTGCAAAAGGCAAGCCAAAAAGTCAGGAGAGGACTCTCATGTTTCCTTGGATACACCGTTTCCCGCGCAAGATTTGGGCCTCCGTGTTTAACGGGAAGGGAAGGAAGAAAAGGCACGGAGGTCGGCTCCTTCCGCAGCTGCTTCAATTTGACGGCTTTGGGGCTTGACATTAATTTTAAAAAGCTAGGTAGATCCTGTAGTGTGTTACGGCTGTCTGTGTGGCACAGATCAATCCTGTCTCCCTTGTTTCCTTTCAGACGATCGCGTACAGCATTTTATGGGATCTGAAGTTTTTGATGAGGTACGTCTGACTTCTTTACTTACTCTAACTTGGCTTGGTTTTGTTTTCTCCTTTTTAAATATGTTAGCCAGAACTGGGTGACCTTAGTCTCATGGCATCCTCATTGAACTGTTCGTTTTTTTCCAAAAGCTATATTTCAAAAAGTGGACATTATAAGAGTCTAAATCTCCAGGCATTCCCAGCCAAGATGGGTCTGGTATTACTGCCCAACCTCTGCTGTAGAATACTATAATTATTATCATCATCCTCATCTGAGAACTGCAGAGCTGGAAGGGACCCTATAAGATCATCCAGTCCAGCCCCTGTCAAGAAGGCCCAGTGGGGGAATCAAACTCACAACCTCTCGCTCTGCAGACCAGAAACCTAAAACACGGAGCGATCCAACATTGATAGGAGTTCAATATTCAAACTTATCAGAAAAACCCAGTAGCCACCCGAAAACTATATTTCAGGCATTTTAATTTGCTTTTACACGGGTTGAACCAATTTTGCTAGTCTTCTGCCACCCCTCTAGCTTTTGGGGGTGAAGCTTTTAATCCCGAATTAATGCCGTCTCTCTCTGTCTACAGAAATCTGGCTCTTGGGGGCGGCTTGTTGCTCCTCTTGGCTGAATCTCGGTCCGAAGGGAAAAGCATGTTCGCTGGCGTGCCTACGATGCGGGAAAGCTCCCCGAAGCAGTACATGCAGCTGGGCGGCCGGGTCCTGCTCGTCCTTATGTTCATGACGCTGCTGCATTTTGACGTTAGCTTCTTTTCGGTAAGTGCTCAGATGAAGAGTCACGGAATCGTGGCGTTGGAAGGCCGTTGGTTCCGAGCCCCTGCTCAAGGCAGGAATCCCAGTCAAGGCAGATCAGACAGGCGGCGGTCCCGTTTTTCTCTTGAAGGCATCCAGCGTTGGAGCGCGCACCACCTCCCCTTGAGGTCATGGGTTCCATAGTCGTGCTGCTCTAACAGTTGATAAGTTTTTTTCTGATATTCTGCCAAAATCTGGCTTCCTGTTGCTTGAGCCCATTGCTATGTGTCCTGCACTCTGAGATTATTGAGAGCAGATCCTGTCCCTCCCCTACCGTTCCTCTTGAAGACCTGGGATTTTTGCAGTTTGCTGATGGGACTGAAAATTCATTACCGTCCGGCACTAGAGGTCTTCGCAAAGATGTCCACATGCTTGCTCAGCCTCCGGATCGCGGTGTTCTGTTTAGCCATAAAAGCTAAACTGGGATCAAAACTGCCGTGTAGATACGCATCAAGCGGGCAGCTGGCTTCATTTCCCCCTAACGCAGAGCCCTGTGTATGTGTGTCTGTGTGTGAGTAATTTGTCCTTCCTCTTTGCCCCACCCCAGATCCTCCAGAACATCGTGGGGACGGCCCTGATGGTCCTCGTGGCCGTCGGCTTCAAGACCAAACTGGCGGCCTTAACGTTGGTCATCTGGCTCTTCGCCATCAACCTCTACTTCAACGCCTTCTGGACCATCCCGACCTACAAGCCCATGCACGATTTCCTGAAATATGACTTCTTCCAGACCATGTCCGTCATCGGAGGCCTCCTCCTGGTGGTGGCCCTTGGGCCCGGCGGCGTCTCCATGGACGAGAAGAAAAAAGAGTGGTAGATCAGGGGAAAAAGGGGGGAGGAGGAGAAAACCCACCACATCATTTGGGAGGCTGGGGACTGACTTCCAACATGGGGTTCACTGCGGGGGGGAGGAGTAATTAAAAACAAAAAAATTAAAAAGAGCGGCCACCGTTTTACAGATGTGCCTAGGTTCGCTTCTTAGAGGCACCTTTCCTTTTTTTCGATAATTCAGGTTTTTTTTGGTTGACGCTCGCACTGATAAGGACAGAATCTCATTGTCATCAAGGATCGCTTGCCTAAGAATCACTGTTAATCCTTTCTCTTTTTTAAGCTCCTAAAATTGTAAGAAGCCGGCTTGCGAAAACGCTACTGTCCTTCCACGCTGGCCACCTTTCATTGACCATGTTTTTTTTAAAAATGACTACTGTGATCACATACCCTCTTTGTATACTTCCGTTGTGCTGGGTGTGCCATCTGGAGTCTTGATTTTGTTCGCCACCTTTGAATTAACTGGCGCCGTTTTGCGGGCTGAGAACGGATGATGCTAGTGACAGAGAGCGCGTGCACGCGGCTTGTACCTTTTTCAGAAAGGGGTTTTAATAGGTTAAAAAATAACGCAGCACCAGTATTAGGACACGGGGAGACAAAACGCTGGTCCCTTGAAAAAGAGGAAGGAGGAAATGGGTGGATGTCATTGTGGATTAAGGGAGGGGGAAAAAATCATATTGGCACCTTTATCCTTGTAGCAGAGATTTATGTCCCTTCGATAACTTTTGTGAAAAATTGTTTAAAACTATGAACAGCACACCAAGGCTATGGAGGTGATTCAAACCCCCTTCCCGAGGCTGGTTTCTTACCTGTGTATCCTTAAAATCAGCTGCTGTTTTTCAACACTTACCAACTGGTGTTAAAGAAACCTCAAATACATTAGGAATAGTCTTTGTTGGATGACGCCAAAGTTCCTTCTTGTTCTGGACAGCCCCTTTCCCCCCACCCCCAAGTTTTTAGAAGACAGATGCTTTTTTTACTTGTGGATTGTGTTTAGTTTCCATGGCGAACAGCCGCAGATCTGTTTTCAAAAAGTCAGTTCTATTGACCCTTGCCTCCTTTTATGGCAGTGGATCTGATTAAATTAATTATGGCTTCTGTGAAAGATTCCCCATTTAGTCTCTTCCCGACCTGTCGCTAGACTCCCATCCGCCGGGACGGCCCGAGGTCAGTAAAACACCCAAATTGTGGGGCGAGCAGTACCTCGAGGCACACGGGTTTTTTTCCTCGCACACAGAAAACACACATTCTTGTCCCAAATCTCTTGTCTGGCTTTGTGGTATTCAACCTTTTAATTCTCTCTCGTCTACACGGTTCACAATTCCACAGCGAAGGATGCTCATACTGACAAAGCAAGGCCCGGAACAAACCAAAAAAGGTAGGAAAACCGGAAACCTCTGAGCAAAAAAGTCTTTGGCTGACCGATTCCTTGCTTTAGAGAGGCGGTGGTCTTTCTACGTACGCACATGGCAGAAATACAATATTGTGAAATCTGAGCGTGTCTGCTGAGCCCTGGCAATGCCCTAGAGTAAAGGTTTTTTGAGGCCTGCAAAATAATAGGTGCCAGGAGAAGCACCTGCAGGTAGCTACAGCGCGGTAGAAACCGAGGGGGGGGGGGCGGACAGCTACTCTGTGAACTTCTCTCTCTCCTGTAAATCATTTCCCTTCACCTACCATTAAGCATCTTTTGTAAGTTTTGGAATACCCTGGATTTTGCATCTGGAATAAAAAAAACATGGGTAAATTCACTGGCATCCGTCTTCTGTCATGTAAGATGGGTTGGGAATTTTTAAGCCCTTGTGAATGGCGACTCTCCTTTTCTCCCACCTGGTGGGAAATGCAGGTGAGAAGATGATTTTGTCAGGTGCACCCTTTAATTCAAGAGGTTCCCAAGTTTGAGGACCCCCAGCTGTTCCTGGGACTACATCTCCCAGAAGCCTTTTCACCACCCACTGGAGATGGTTTTGTCAGGGGCACCCCGTAAGTCAAGAGGTCCCCAAGTTTGGTGGGCCCCCAGCTGTTCCTGGGACTAAATCTCCCAGAAGCCTTTTCACCACCCACTGCTGGCCAGGATTTCTGGGAGTTGAAGTCCGAAGAACGCCAGGGTCACCCAAGGTGGGGAACCACGTCCTTAAGTGTTTAGCTATTATCCAGACTTGGAGGATTGTTGGCAGAGGAAAAACTGGCTCTCAGATCCCCAAATGGCGCCCAGCGTGATTTCGCAAGGTTACGAAAGTGATATTTTGCGACCGGCCATTAAAACCATTTCCTACGATTTCAGAGCGCTGGACTCTTGCAAATAATCCAGAGCCTTTCTCTAAAGATGCGCCATCTATACCAAATTTCTACAAAGAAGGGACGGATAAAATACATTGGATTTCCGGACTTTGCCGCTCGCCCAAGGATCTAGAAATTGACAACAGAAGAATTTATATAAATCAGACACAACCGTTTTATTCTGTTTTTTTCCTCCAAGAAAATCGGGATTTCCACCTAAAACGAATGGAGCACTTTGATAAAAAGCTCTCCCCTTCCTGGACTCACAGACGTCGGGAACTGTCCAGAGCATCACCGTTGACTTCCTGTCGGTGGCAGTTTTCCCAAACTGGGTTTTCTGTGCCGACTTTTGAACTTCTTCTTCAGCCCCCCTCCTTGCTTCTGTAAAAGAGAGAGTGTCCATGTCATTTTTACACTGACTTTCTCCTTTAGAAGGGCTCAAGGGGGCTGGCCTCATTAAAAGACACCCTTTAGAAGCTAAAAAACTAAGTATCAAAATATTTTAAAAGGGGTTAAACAAATATTACAAATGGTAAATCAATACTAAAAACAGATGTTAAAACATGCACAACAATCCATTAAAAACACACACTCTCCAGCAGCTAGTCATTGAGGGAAAGGCTTGCGTGAAATGAAAGGTCTTTGCTTGCTTGTGGAAGGAGATGTGAAAAGAAAGGTCTTTGCTTGCTCGTGGAAGGAGAGCCAGGAAGGGCCCAAGCGGGCCTCCAGTGGCAGGGAGTTCCACGGTCTCAGAGGAGGCCTGTGAAGGTGGTGGGAACCGAGAGAAAGGAAGGGCCCAGGCGGGCCTCTAGTGGCAGGGAGTTCCACCGTCTCAGAGGAGCCTGTGAAGGTGGTGGGAACCGAGAGAAAAGCCTCTCCTGATGAGCTTGACACCCGGGCTGGATTGACAGGTTGAAAAGGGGGAATTGATGGCCATGTTTGGACCCAGTGGCTTTATGGCTTCTGCCTCACCTTTTCCCTCTTGTAGCCCCTCCGAGGGTCCCCATCCATCACCCCACTTCCGTCTCCGTTCCGGTGGCTGTTCGGCTTGATCGGGTCGTCCTCCTCGCTGTCGGTTGCGAAGTCCCCTCCGCCGCCTTCCTCCTCGGCTGGGCTCCTTTCAGGGAAAAGTTCAGCTAAAACAAACCCACCACAAAAGCAAGATTAAAAACGAACTCCCACCGTTTCTTTCTCTCTACGGCAGTAACGAGCCCAAAAAGGACCAAGCTCATCCGTCCGAGCCCGCAGGCCGGATCCGTGGCGTCTACAGCAAAAGTAGGGCGAAATAATGCGCATTTTAAGGCAAAATGGGAGGACAGTGCTCTCTGGAGCTTCCTGCCAACCCCAGCCACGCCGGGTCGCATCGCTTGTGTGCAAACGCCAGGGCAAAAAGTGCAGAACGGCTTTTCAGCATCACGACTGCTCCTTGCACAAGGGCGCCACTGACACAGTTCAGTGTTTCGGAGGACAGCTCCCATAGTCCCCGGCCATGGGACATACTGGCTGGAGAAATGGGAGATGTAGTGGCAAAGCTCGGTGAACAGATCCCTGGGTCCAAGGATCTCCCCTTGGAGCAAAGAAAAAACCCGTCTGGAACCATAAGGACCAGTAACTTATATTCCCTCTAAAGCGGGCCTCCTACGGAGTTGGTCTTTTTTTCCTACCCCGCGCCGACTCACGTGGGTACAAATCGCTCAGGCTGTCGTCTGTTTCACTGTCATTTTCGTCACTCCCGGGGGGTTCCCAAAACTCCCCCTTCCGCCGGGGCGGCCTGCTGCCCTCCGCTTCGTGGTCCTGATCCCGCCGACGCCGCTGTTTCTGGCGAAGACACGCAGGAACGTACTCGACCCCTTCCCTCTGGCATTCTCCGTCTGCAACGGGAAGAGCGCTGGATCAGGGCTGGGCCAGGCCCGTGGGTCTTGAAGAGGAGGGTCCCGCCTTGCAGGGCGAGAGAAGAGTTCCCCATCCCTCCCACCCAGCATCCCCAAACTTGAAGCCAACCGCCAGAAACGGAGCCTGGACGGTTAAATGGAACCTCCCTATCCAAGAGCAGTCTATCACAGCCCCATTGTTTTATTCATTGACTTATTTGTTACCACTGCAACTAGTAAGCGGAGTGGTGGTGTCCGAAGATTTGCTTAAGCATGACCTGAACATATTTTTTTAAAAAACAACCTAAATATATTTCGAACAATGAATTTACCAGACCTGGCTACCCATGGGAACTAGAGACCATCCTATGTATAGCTTTTGCTATTAAAAAGGGCGTTTTCTATCATCCACATTTTTCGGTATCCGTGAGAGGGCTTGGAGCTGGTCTCCCGTAGATAAGAGGGGTCCTACTGGAATCTAAAATTCTGTAAGGCGAAGCCACTCGGCCAAACAATCGGACAAAAAGCAGGAGCGGACGGAGGCAGATCACGGATCACGTACACCTTCTTAGAGCTTTCTGATAACGACGGCCCTGGACATGACGGAGAACATGTTCCGGCAGCCGGTTGATGTGGCGCAAGGTGAGTTTGCAGAACAGCTGATGGCTAGAGGGAGAAAAGAAAGACTAAATTGTGCTATTTTATTTGCTTTATTTCTATTCCTCCTTTCTCCCAAAAACGGGACCCCAAGGGGGCTAGGAGCAGAATTTGAAAACGAGCACAATTTTTAAAAAAACAACCACCCTTTTAAATATTTAAACATAATGAAACCAGCCATCCTATTAAAATAGAACACAGTCAAAAAAAAAAAGATATACGTTCAAAATAATCATTACAATGAGCAAACTGCAGGACATCATAGCAAGGCGTTCAACAGGAAAGGTTGCCCCCAGATTCTAGAATAGCATATTGGTGGAATTCAAGAACCTGAGGACTAGAATCTTGTTGGGGTTTTTTTTGTGGGTCAGGGAGAATTCCAGATTCTCTGCATTCTGCTTAAGTGAGACTGTATTTTAGGGCATTTATGTACAGTGATCAATACACAGATAAAGCTGATCAGGAGAGGGAGAGAGAGACACATACGGATTTTTAGTGCTGGGGACGATATGTGGCTCATATTCGCTGTAATCCAGCACACCCGGGACCTTGCTGAGCCTCTGGTACTTCTTGCCACTGGTGTAAGCTTGAAGGGCGGACAAGCGGTACGGCAGCTCGTGGCCGGACAGCGTGCAACGGACCTGGAGGAGTCAGAAACAAGGGTTAGAAGCAAGAGATAAAATCGGTCTGCATTTGGCCCCTTAAACTGTTTTTTAAAAATCTGCTCTTTTATTGATTTATTTCAAATTATTTTTACTTCACTTTTCTCCTAACCAAACGACCCAAACAATGTTTGAAGTTGAAAACCATCGAGTATTCAACGGGGCCTGTCAGGCAGCTCGCCCTGAGATACAGCGCCTGGCTTCCTGAGGACTAGCGCCTTGAGATGCCCCTCTAACCACTACACCGCCCTGTCTTATTCTCGACAGAAGGAGCGGTTTTGGGGGGTCTGAACCCACCTTCTTCCCCGGAGGGATGACGCGCAAGCTCGGGTGTTGCTTCAAGAAGCTCTCTAGGCGGGCATCATCCTCATCATCCTCTCTCTCCAGCTTCTGCTGCTGCGGCCGCCGCTCCCACATGCTTTCGCGCCGCCCTGGAACGGCCGGGCGTCTGGAAGGGGGGCGTGGCCACGGCCGCCCTTAAGAAAGATGGAGGCGGAGCCAGAGCGCGAGTTAGCCAATCCGCTCGCGAGCCCTCTGGCCACGTGGATGCCGCCGGGCGGGGCCAAAGCCGTAGAGTTAAAACACGCGGCGGCAGCAGCAGCAGCCGGCACCTCCGGTTCCCATTGGACGCCATCTGCTAAGTTGTCTGAGGCAGCCCAAAAAAAGGCAAAAAATATATATGAAATACACGGTTGTTTCCTTGACTGGGTTCCCCCCCCTCTCCCAATGCTTACCTATGTGTGTATTTGGGGGGGGGAACACACCACTCCTCAATGGATGTGTTATAACACATCTATTTACGTGTGTGTTGAAAGTCTCTTGAGGAGAAAGGCGCGGTGTGAATAAATACATTGAGGCAATAGCTGTAAAGAAATAAATACTTTCCTCCCTTTTTCTTCTTTTTAATGTGTGTATTTCCATTTCCCCCCCCTTTTTTAAAAATTCTGCCTGCAGTTCCTTTCCCAGAAATCTGGGAAAAGAAAACAAAAGTGGATCCAAGAAAACGACCCGTCGCTAAAATCCACCATTTTTTTAAAATTTTGATTGGAAAAGGGAAAAAAAATCGTTCCCGGCAAGCCTGGCTCGACCCACGTGGCGGGGAGAGGGGGAGAGCACTTCCGGAAAGCCGCACCGGAAGTGGGGCGTCACGTGAACCTCAAAAAGGGGCGGGGCAGGAAGAGGGGAAAAAAGCTAGGCCCAGAGAAGGAGGAACGGGAGAGTCAAAATGGCGGCTGCCTGTCTGAGGGGCTTCCTTCGCGGATGTGGAAACGGAGGACCGGTGGGGGAGCCTCTGAAATAGCCTCCTTGAGGGGGGGAGGGGGCGCTTGTCTTAATTATCCTCTTCTTCCCTCCCCCCCCCGGCAGTCCTGCTTTTAATTAATGTTTTAACTCTTCAAGCCCTCTAGCTTCATGGGTCCCTATGGGGGGAGGCGGGAGGGGGTCCCAATTAAAGGTTTTTTAGGGCGGCCTTGGTTCTTAAGACTTGTGGGGTGGAGGGGAAAGGGTGAGGTAAAAGTGGACTAGGAGCCCCCTCGTATCCGCCGGGAATTGGTTTCAAGCCCCCCCGCGGATGCTGAGAAACTTGGATAATAGCGAATGCTATTAAAATACACTCTTATTCTAGAGCAGGGTATGAAATCCAGGCTTCTCTCTATATATCTCTCTGTCTGTAATATTTATAACATTTACGCGCTGCCCTTTCTCCTAAGCAAGGATCCCAGGAAGATTCCCCTTGGGAGAAAAATGGTAAATAATGTGAGAAATGGTAAATAGTGTGAGAAATAATTTTTCTCTTCTTTCAGCTGCCCTACAATGTCAGCGGAAGGACCTTCTTTCTCGGCCATCGTTCCAGAGCTCGTTCTGATCTGGTGGGAGAAAAAGGTGAAGAGAAAATTTTTTGAAAACACTTGAAGATATATTGCCTTGGCAGGAGTACAGTAGGATCCCCTGTATCTGCGGGATCGGTATCTACAGTTTGCTATAGACTGTCTGAAAATCCCAGAAATTTGTATATCTATGATGTATTGACCAGAACTGGCCAGTAGAGTGAGACAAAGACCATGCTATGTATAACAGTTGCAAACTGGCTGGCGAGCACTCTAGCGCTATGCAGTAACGTAGAAGCAGTACCATTTGCTTGGTCAAGTGGAAGCGACGGGTTTTTGGCTTCCCTTGGCGCTTCCAAACTTTTGTAATGCTTCCCGCTGACCTTATACATGCTCTCTTTCTCGTGATCTTTCCCCCCAGGGCCTACCCAGACGCCTGTCAGACTTCGGTTTGCTAAGAGATCGAAACCGAGTGCGTTAGGCAAGTGGGTGACCTTAATCATCCCCGTGACAACCTTTTGCCTTGGCACGTGGCAGGTAAATGTTTAATCTGGATTCGGCTCTTGGGGGGGCACTCAGCTGAGGGCTGGCGGGGCGCCGGGTGAGTAGCAGCGTTCCTGGCGGAGATGGTTGGACTGGTCTAAATCTTTCTACCCCAAGATCATCCCCTCTGCCTGCTACACATTCAAAGGCGTCCTCCCTTAACTCTGTTCCGATTCGTCTTTCCTGGATCTTTCCATCATTTTGGATCTTATTGTATGTGTTTGTTTTGGGATTTTAAAGTTTGTTTGCTGGGTGGTTGGGGGATGATTGCTTGTTTGTTTGTTTGTTTGTGCCTCGTCCTCCGGTGGGATCCTCTTATCCGCGGGATCAGCGTCTGCTGATTCTGGTCTGAAAATATTACAAGCTAGTTTTAAAAAAATCCTAGAATTGCATATTTCTAAAGATGAAGTTACCTGAACAGGCCATTAGAGGGAGCCAGAGACAATGCCATGTATAGCATCAATTATAATAATAGGGTTCGCTATAATCTACGTTTTTAGAGCATCTGTGGGGTAATTTGGAACTAATCCCCTGTGGATGCAAGGGTTCCCACTGCATATTTTTGTCATTCTGTGGCCATCAAGTCAGAACTGATTTACAGTGACCCTAATAAGGTATCCCCAGTGTGTTTCTGTGGCGGATTCGAACCCAGGACTCCAGAATCCTAGCCTTGTCTCTCAACCTTGGAGGTAAATGCAGCCACAGTGTATGTGAAATCTACAGGGAACTGAGAGTCCGCATTTCCTCCAAACATATATGTGTGTTTTTATAAATATAATTTGAATTTTGAGGAGCCCAGGCAGAAAAGCTTCTCCCTTTCTTGTGTGTGTGAAGTGTCCTTTTGGAGCGTCACTGCTGAGCAAAGACGTTGTCGGACGTTGTCTCACAAGGCCCCTGAGAGCCCTTCTGTGTGTTTCAGGTTCAGCGGAGAAAATGGAAGATGGAAATCATCGCTAATTTAAAAGCAAGGACATCGGCAGAACCCGTCCCGCTCCCAATAGAGTAGGTGCAGAAAATTGGCTAGCCGGCATTTCCACTTGGAGAGTAATGTGTGTCTCGGGATCTGTTTTTCCCCCCAAATCCCGAAGGGTCCTGATTTAAGTGCTGCAGAAATGAAGCAAAGTTTTAAGGTTTACGGACATAAAATGTTAAAAGAAGCTTTGTTTGTTAAATTTCATCATATCCAGTGGCTCTTGGAGATACACTGATAGGAGGAGTAAAGCAAAATGGAACTTTGCTTTTCAAATTTTCCTTCTGTTATCTTCCCATGAGTTGAATTTTTGAAGTTATTCAAAAAAGGGTATTTTGAGGGGGGCAAACATACAACAAGGCTGAATCTTCTGTTCCAGCCCTGTTGTTTGCTCTCTTTCCCCAGCCCTCTGGAGCTAGAAGAGATGGAGTACATGCCGGTCCACGTCCGAGGGTATTTTGACCACACCAAGGAGATACACCTGTTGCCGCGGACGTTGATAACTCCAGAGGATGGGAGACCTCAGGCGGGCATGGGAATGGGTCCCGTGCAGAGCGGGGCCCACATCATCACCCCCTTCTATTGCACCGACCTGGGGTAGGTATGTTCCCAGGCGAACGGTTTCGGTTGCGGGTCTTGTCCTGACAATCGGTTGTTCTCTGCTGTCCATTCACCTCCGACTCATGGTGACCCTCCGAAAAAGCGCTCTCCAAACTGCCCCGCTCAGTTCTTGCAAACGCAACCCCGTAGCTTCCTTTAAGGGAGTCCGTCCATCTCCTGTTGTGGCTTCCTCTTTTCCTGCTGCTTTTCCCCCCTTGATGGTCTTTCCCAGAGAATCCTGCCTTCTCAGGGCGTGCCCAAAGTAGGGCAGCCTCAGATTCAATATTTTTGCCTCCCGAGATCCTTCAGGCTTGACTTGATCTAGGACCCCCCACATGTACATCTTTCTGGCAGTGGAGAATATCCACTTGCCTGCGAGGAAGCCCCATGGACCTCACCCATTCTGACCTGTCCTGCACTCTGTGGGAGGATTGAGAACAGATCCTGCCCCTCCAGCTCTGGATCCACTTAAGTGGATCCAATATTGGTGGTGTTTTCCTTTAATTCTCCCTTCCCTGTACCCTTGCTGACCCACAAAAAGTCTCAGTCATGGGGCAGTTCTGTACAGGAGGGGTGTATCACATCCAGAAGTGTGGGGGCCACACCCATTGAGACCCACCTCTCTTCCCCCATTTAAAAAGAAAAATAATAATATTTAAATTAAAAAATTCCTTGCTTATGACCGAAAAAGTCATTTCAACATGTTCCGTTCTATTCTCAGCTGACGGCATCTCTTTTTTTCCTCCCAGGATTACAATACTGGTCAACAGAGGGTTCGTGGCCTCGGCAAAAATAAATCCGGAGACCCGGCCGAAAGGACAGGTAAGAGGGCTGCCCTTACTGCAGAGTGCTCAAGCTGTGGGCCCTTGCAAGGTCAAAAGCAACATTAGGAGAAAAGCCAGAAAGAAATAGTTAACTTTTTTTTCCCCCCTTCTAGATCCAAGGGGAGGTTGAACTCACCGGGCTGGTGAGACTGTCCGAACCCCGCAGATCCTTTGTAGCCGAAAACGACGTCGAACGGAATCAGTGGTTTTACCGGGACGTGGAAGCCATGGCCAGAGTGACCGGAGCCGAGCCCATTTTTATCGACGCAAACGCCAGTAAGTCTCTGAACAACACAGTGGCTTCGGGGCCTCCTCCTTAGTTTGGCCCAGCTTCCTTGTTCAAGGTCCAGATCAAGAAGGAAAACAGCTATTTTGGGCAGCTACAAGGATAGGTTTTGTTTGGTCAGGGACAGCGAGTATTAAAAAAAACAGAGGAACTTGACCCTAGTGGGAGAATTAATGTAACCGGTGTTAGTTTTACACCATTATCCCAATTTGGATTTCTTTAAATTAATCACGCCAAAGCTCCTTATATTCCTCTGCCCTCTGACATCACGTTACGGAGGAATGTAGACAGTTCATAATAGCTTTTTCCAGGATCCTTTCATTTTGACCCAGTATTCCTGCCTCTTACGGCTACCTCGTGGTTGCACACGGGTTTTTTTCCTGTGGCTTATCGTCCCGATCGACTCCTTTCTTAACTTTTGTGTCTCCTCCCCACCTTACGGCTACCTCATGGTTGCACACATTGGTTTTCCATGAGGTTTTCTGTGGCTTATCGTCCCGATCGAGTCCTTTCTTAACTTTTGTGTCTCCTCCCCAGAAAGCACGGTGCCAGGGGGACCAATCGGAGGCCAGACGAGAGTGATCGTACGCAATGAGCATCTCGGGTACATCTTAACCTGGTGAGTGGCAAAACATTTTCCTTTGTTGGTGAAACAAAGCCAGCCTCTTCCAAGCGTCCGAGTCATCATCTCCTTTCTCTACAGGTACAGCTTGTCTGCCATCACTTTTATCATGTGGTGTCAGAAGTACCTCCTGAACGTCCGCCGGTAAGCCTGGAAGCTCCTCCGTGCACGGACCCCGGGGCCTCGAGGAATTTTGGGGGGGCAGACCCTGCTGTTTCAAGTATTCTCTATCCTTGCTGCCCCCTTCGTAACCCAACAAGAGCTGGGTTTGACCTTCTCTGGCAGGAAACGACGGGCACCCAGCTGCCCTGTCGGCTGATTTTCTGGTTGCTTGGGCAGTATTCTGTCCCTACCCTTCACTGATAAGAACTGGCAGACAGTTCTGAAGGAAGGGAGTCCCGATCCGGTTGCAACGCTGAGCTCCTGTTCTTGTTGGAAACGAAGCAGTGTAATCCTAAGGTGTGGGAATGGGTGCGCGAGACCTGGTGTACTTGAATTGGAGCAAGCTCCACACAAGACTGGCTGTATTGTGTGTAGCAGTAAATAAATCATGATTCCTTACAGGGATGTTGGTCCTGCCCCTAACTACAGAAACCACCACTTGATCACAAGCACTTAAGCCTTTGGAAATGACGGGCGGCTTCTCATTGCACACCCCATCACAAGTAAGGGTCTCGAACCCCCCCCATACCCCTTACACTAGTGACAATTCCAATCTCACAGCTGTTTGCACTGTTAGAAATTTACCAGCAAGCCACAATTTAGGGCAGTTTGGCCTTCTAGCTGTTTTTACTTTGCCCCCATTCCGAAATTCGCTTTTCTCCACAGTGCTGTAGACGCTGCTGCGTTTGCTGGGTCTCGGGAACAACTTGTCAGCGGAGGTTAAGAGCAAGCTGCTAGCAGTGTAGTTAAAATCTACAATAATCCCTTCCATGCTGCGGGTGAGTTCCCTCGTTCATGTTGACTTGCAAGAGCAGGCAGTAAAGATGTAGCTATCTTTCATTTTGTCCCACACCGTACAAGACTTGTGTGGTTAGAAAGCGGTTATTTTGTTCTGTCAGCACTTCAAGAGTTTTGAAGGCTAGTGGAATTTGAGAATTTAAAACCAAGCCTTTTAGGAGTTGATTTTTTAAAAAGGTTTTTACCAGTTATGTCACTCTCCCAGCGGCAGGGGGAAGCCTTAGAAAAAACTCCGAACAAAGAGTTTTTTTTTCCAATATTTTATTTTTATATACAGGAAAACTAGAGGTCCATCGCGAGCCGTTTACCCCAGCTTTGTGGCCAGTTCTTTAGCTTTGGCCTTTTCAAGCTTAGCGATGCGAGCCACCGACTTCGGCCCCAAAACATTACCACCCCAGTGGCGCCGAATCTAGAAAAAGAGGAAAAGGAGATGCATTTTAGTTTTTAAAAAGTCAAAACCTTCCAGGAATTTCAATGGCTAAGATCTTGGCGACCGTCGCATTAGAAACAGATGTACGTTTACCCGATTCATGGTTCAAACATTTAAGTCTACCCTCCTTGGGCCTAACAAACTGCTACCCCAACATTACACTAAGGGAGATGAAACATATGCCCCTTTGATGCCTTAACCCCCCCCCAAGGACAAAGAAATAAGCCAAAGCAGACCTGAAGAACAAGCACCAATAGGAAGGGGAAAGCAGGAGCATAATAGCCTCCCCATAAGAACATCTAAAAATAGGTTAAAATCTTCTGAACACTGGAAAGAACTATCTATGTGATTGCTGATTTTGTCGATGCATGGCAGCAGGGCTGGGCAAGGGCCTTTTGGGGAGAGGACAGGATCGGCCGACACCCCAACTGATGTCATGAGGTGGGGTCATGGATGACCCCCCCTCCGAAGGCCAAACTGCTGGATGTGTCTACAGCCAGCATGTCCCATCTGGCCCCAGGACTCTGCCTTTATCTTTTCTCAAGGTGAGGGAGGACAGAAGCAAGACAGGGAGTTCATTTCAGAGGGCAGCCTGGAAAACCAGAAGCCGTTCACTCTAAAAAAAGCCACCGTCTGTTTGCAAGGCTCGAACATATTTCAAGAGAATGACAGGGCCTTTTTACATTTTTTTTTTGGTGGGGGGGATGTCGAGGTGGGAGACATGTCAGGGATTACTTGGAGCAGATCTTACCTCGTCGTATCTCTCATTGTAGTTGGTCTTGACAGCTTCCACCAGTTTAGCCAGCGCTCCTTTGTCCTCCCTGCAAAAGAAAAAAAGACATCCAGCTAAGTTTACAACAGCCACCGAAAGCCACTTTTCGTATGGCTAACCAAACTGGTTTCTTAGTAACCGATGTATCTTGATGCCATTGCGTAGGTACTGAGGCGGCTTGAGAGAGATCAAAGCATTACTCGTTCAGGTGTAACGAAGGGTATGGCTTTTAGAACAGGACCCCTGTATCTGTAGTTTCACTTATCCGTGGTTTTAAAATATTTAAAGAAAACTACAAGTATTTTTCATGATGTATTTATCAGAAATGGCTCCCTCTAATTAGAATTCTGATAAATACAAGGTGAAAATATATGATTTTTTAAATAGTGTTCACGGTTTTCAGTATCTGCAGGGAGGGGAGGCTTGGAATCACTTCCCCACAGATACAGGAGCCCCACTGCATTGCGAAAAATCTACTGTTCAACTCGTGTGCACACTCCAAACAGAACCACACCGGATCCTTTACACACGTGCATCAGGATTAGCTCTTCTATTAACTCGGCTTTTGAAGGCTACTTACGGATTAACCTGCGTGAAGGCGATGCTGGTGCAGGTCTTCCGATGGACGAGGCGGCCCAGCCTGGCTTTGCCTTTGATGATGCAATAGGGCACTCCCATTTTTCGGCACAAGGCCGGAAGAAACACCACCAGCTACAACAGAGCAGAGCGGAACTGCTTAGATATTAAAGGGGCAACACAGCGCCAAAATCCGCGACAACCGGGCTCCGGCAATTGCTCAGGGTTAAAAAGCTCGTATTTTTACTCTTCACGGTTGAGTTCAGGTGAAGAAATTCAAACATCATTGCAAGAGCCGAGCCCAGTTTTTGTAAATGACAATATGGGTGCCGCTCCTAAACACACACACCATCATCATCATTCCAATCTACTTGGTGTCAGCTCTTACCTCCACGGGGTCTACGTCGTGAGCAATCACCACAAGCTGCGCTTTCTTGTTCTCCACCAGAGTGGTCACGGAGTTGACGCCTGCAACACAGGATTTGGTGCCGTTCAGAAACAGGATTCCTAGGACCGGCGGACTCTAGGAAACCAACTTGCTTTTTGTGCCTCTACGGAGGACGGTTAACGCATCCTCGATCATCGGGACACTAAGTACGCAGAAAGGGGGCAACCAGCTATAGCTCGGGGTTAAAAAGCTCATCCGTTTGGTGATGAAATTCATACAGGTAGCCGATGGGCCCGTCACTGAAAAAAGGGCAATATCCAGGGAGCCGGCCCCTTCAGCTAGCTGAGCACAAGAGGAGACCGCTGCTAAAAAGGATTACCTGCTCTCAGTACAGGAGGCCTCTTGGTGGGGACGTCCCCCTTCCCGGCAGCCTTCTGCTCGGCTCGGGCCAGCAGCCTCTGTTTCTTCTCCTGCTTCGTCTCTGGCCTGTATTTGTGAGCCAACTTCAGGAGCTGAGTAGCTGTGAGGAGAGAGGCCGGATGATTCAAAGCCGTTTTCCAGCTGCTTTCCATCCCCCCCACTCCTCTCCGTGCCCTTTCCCCAAAGAGAATCCTCGTGCATCAGCGATCTTGGTGGTTGGGAGTCATCACGTTAACTCAGATAGCAAATATTTGTTTGCATCATCTGCACAGCAAGGAAAAAGCACAGCTCCCTAGAGCAAATAGAGAGCAAGTCTCCTTCATTCTAAGGGTCTCTCACCCATCAATTACCAACACAGAACTGGACCAGGAAATTAACTCTTCCTAAGAGCAGGCTAAATTTCCTTCACCACCATCATCACCTTGCCCTCCTCCCACCCCTATTTCCTCCTAGAACGACAGCACAAAACCAAGCAAAAAGTCACAATACGCTCCCTTTGCTGACACAGACAAGGAACCCAAAATCTTATCGGCGTCTGCTCGCTTCGTCTGATTAAAGCTGTTTCTGAGATAAACCCCTGCGCTATCTGGCAGCTCTAGATAACCTTAGAGCTACAGAGCTGGTGGATCATCGAATCCAGTTCCTCTCAAGGAGACACGGCAGAACATCGAACTCCCAACTTCTGGTTCTGCAGCCAGAGGCCTAAAACGCTTAAGACGTTTTTTTGCAGGTTCTCAGAATAAGCCACCCCCACTTCTTTCTGCGCGGCGCTGCCTTAAACCAGCATCACGAACCGGAAGCCCGGCGCTTACCCGTCTGGCGGTCCAAAGCTTGCGTGAACTGGTTAACCGCCGGAGGCACCTTTAACCTTTTGTAGAGGATCGCCCTCTGGCGCTGGAGGCGGATGTAACGGGGCCACTTCACGAAACGGGTGAGGTCCCGCTTGGGTTGGATATCCTGCCCTGAGGAGCAGAGAACGCGTCAAAAAGACAAGACTTCCCGATCCATTTCTCCATCCCGGCTCAAGGCAGGGGCGAGCATCAGCGATCTTGGTGGATAAAATCGTCGTCACCGCTCTTTTTCAGATAGCAAATATTCGTTTGCATCATCTGCTCGGAACCCTTTTTGGTAAACGCCAGGCTCTACAAAACCGGATCGCCTCGTGCCCAGGTCAACGTGACATCCAAGTCCCCCCCCCCAATCAAAGCTTGAAAGCCACTAGAATTAAGGCAAGCAGAATATAGCACAGCAGATTTGCATATGTACGTTTAATTGGGGACACGACCAAAAAAGCAGCTTTATTTTTATCAGAGGTGCCGGCCCGCATCCCAAACCGATATAAAATGACCGTATTCCTATACCGTAGACTCACAGTGTCAGCAGGATCAATACCCAGAGTTTCACTTAACTGAAAACATTAAATAAAAAAGCCTGAGAAATGCACTTTTCCAAGGTGTATCACCACTAAAGGGGACCAGTACGCACACTCTCTCCCCCAGGTTTGCTATATCCGCAATTTCCAACATCCGCGAGGAAGGGGCTTGGAACCAATCCCCAGTTCCTGCTGCTTATTCAGGTTCAAAGAACCTCCTCCTCCTCCTCATCCTCTGCTGTCCTTGCAACTCACCAATGCCAAAGTTCTTGGGCCTCTTCTCGAAGAGAGGGTTGACCACCTTCTTGGCCTCCTGCTTCTTGACCACGGCCGGCGCCGGGGCCACCTTCTTCCCCTTCGCCTTCTTCCCCTTCGGCTGCAAAAAAAACCCACGAACTCGTCTATGATCTCCGTCTCCCATCATCCACAGACGTGTTGTCACCCCCCCAGGGGGGCTTTGAAATCTGAACCCAAGAGAGCCCCCCAAAAGGGTCCTTTTGCCATCATCTTTAAGGTTTCTCTCTAGTGCCCCCCCCGCCCCAAGCAGAAATCTTCAGGGACACGTTTACACGCCAAACCACTTCCACGCCCGTTCAACCCCCAAATCCTTCTCTTTTTTTCGCCTGCTTAACTCAGGAAGGGGCTCCTCGTAAAATCACCAAAAAATCGCTTTAACGTCGAATCTCAACCCTCATAACGCGACCAATCCGGGAATCCCGGTGGGCGAAGAGGCCTGGAACCGGTTTCAACGCGCCGTGTAAACGCAACCCGTTAATCCGGATTAACTCGCACCCTTTGGGGGCCCACCAAAACTTGCCAGAAGTCAATTAAACGACTCCAATTAATTAATGGGGATCGGGTCCTCAAAAGAGGCCTTTTGGCCCAAGGATCTTTCCTGGGAAGCGAATAGGGCATCGATCCGGATCGGGACCTACCACCCAGCCCGGAGCCGGGGACTTTCCTAGGGGCGTCTCTTCCCTCTCCGACCCTCCGCCGCCCAAGGGAGGCCTCCGCTCCCCGGTCTGGAAGGCGGATGGCAACGGATTCCCCGGATCGAGCCGCCGAGACTCACCATCTTGGCTCAGAGGAAGAAAAAGAGAGAGCGACGCCTGACGGGTAATATATCTAAAGGGCGCCCGATCTCGCGAGAGGTTACGAGTCGCGCGGGGAGTGACGTAGAACGGAAACGGAAGCCCGCTTTTCTCTCTGGTTCGGAGCCCATGGTGTGTTTTCTAAAACCATAGAGTTGGAAAGCCCTAAAGAAAGTCGTTGCCTACGTAAAAGCGTGCGTGGATTATTGATAGATCTACGAATCCTTTTTTTGTAGAGGTGCTTTCTCTGAGTTCCTTGCACGGAGGACCCGCGAAAAGGTGACTTTGTGCCTTTAAGACGTCGGCCTCGTCCCTGCCAGGGGAAAGGAAGAGATTGGCATCCCAAAGAACCAATCGGAGTCCGGGAATTTGGCTCAGCGAATGACGAAAGGCGGGTAAGAACTATTAAAACCGGAAATCATGGCAAACGATGGGGTTTAAGAAGCGTTTATGCAGGTTAGGTTGTGTTTTTAGGGAGGCAGGTAATGGCGAGGCTGCTCAGAGTGGCTTTAGCCTCCCCTTTTGGTGGCTGAAGAGGGGCAAAAGGAAAAAAGCTGCTTTAAATGCATGTTTTGTGTCTGGCATCCAAGTTTCTAGTCCTCAATGAGGTTATTGGGGGGGGGAGAATCTTTTCCTGTGTGTGTTTTTTTAAAAGCATTTTTTCCATACAGTTGGGAGCCAAGATCCTAGAATGATGGGGTGGGAAGGGGCCCCTCTAAGGCCCTGAAGTTCAAGGGTTTATAGGAATTCAGCATTAATAACATGATGGAGGATAAAGGTTACAAAATGCTCCTTGTTGCTTTCTCTTGTCCTGTGTGGGTTTTGTGCCGGCCTGTTGGGATGCGTAGGTTCCAGAAGGGCTACGGAGGCCTCTTGCCAGATGAGTCCCTGAAGGACGGGTGATTTCTTGCAAAGGGTTTAAAGAAAATCCAGATCTGGGTCAAAGTTTTGATTCTCTCCTGTCCTTTCAACAGCTAAGGCATTGCTTCCCTCGCCATGTCGCAGCAACGTGTCCTCCCTCAGAGCAAAGAAACGCTCCTTCAGTCCTACAACAAGAGGCTGAAAGATGATATCAAGTCCATCATGGATAACTTCACGGAGATCATCAAAACCGCCAAGGTAGGTTTGCGGGAAGAAGAATCAATCCCCTTGGAACTGCAGAGCCGGGAGGCGTATTATGGATCATCTAGGTCCAGTGCATTGGGAACATCTTTAGCTTCTTTGATTATTCAGATATTTATTATTTAGATTTATATTTTCTTTAAGTATATGGCTCTCCCTTGTTTTTGTCACAACAGTCCTTCGAAGTGGGCCACTGGCCCAACGCCGCTCTGTGAATTTCATGGCTGCGAGGAGACTGAAACCTGGATCTCCCAAGCCTTTAGTCCCTCACTCTAGCTGTTAGCCCACACTGCCTCCCTGTTTCCTAATTTCTGGTTACTTTACAGTTACGTGGTTCTGTAACGTTTTGGTTTAGGTTGAAGAGGAAACCCAAGTATTGCGAGCCACCCAAGGCGAACAGGATAACTACGAGATGCATGTCAGGGCCGCAAACATAGTGAGTATCATAAATCCTCAAGGTATTACTTTACTGGGTAGTCCAGGTATTGATGTCTTTGTCCTATGAAGCTTGCAAAGAAGGAATCCATTTTTATTTTTTTTAGTGTTGGTAGGCTCTGGAACAAGTTGCCCATAGAGATCGCCCAGCTTCCTTCCCTCCTGATATTCAAGAACTTGGGAAAAAAAAACAGATTTGTTTTAAGCTGCCTTTAACATGGTCTGGATGCTATTAATTTTAGGGGGTACGAATTTTAGATCTTGTAGGGTCATTTATATGTATTTATTTCATGAGTGCTGTGTCACCCCATTCTTTTCCACTGTAAGTTTGTTACGTGGGGTCTTGAGAGTTTTAAATTTTAATCTGTAAACCTCCCGAAGTAGTGGTTGCATGAATCGGGTGGTATATGAATCGAGTCAATTAATAAAATGAATTCTATTTATGGGGAAAAAATTCATTGTGTATTTGAAGTCTCCTTGAGGCTGTCCTTTTAAATATCCCATGTGCCTGCTGCAGGTCCGTGCTGGCGAGTCTCTCATGAAGCTGGTCTCCGACCTGAAGCAGTTTTTGATCCTGAACGACTTTCCTTCGGTCAACGAAGCCATCAACCAGCGCAAGCAGCAGCTGCACGCGCTGCAGGAGGAATGCGACAAGAAGCTGATCGCGCTGCGCGACGAGATCTCTGTCGACCTGTACGAGCTGGAGGAAGAATATTACTCTTCCAGGTACAAGTAAAAAAAAGCCACAGACGGCCTTAAAACTATAAACGTGTGTCCTTGGAGAGAGAGACGAAGCCAACTGTCTTAATAACAGTTCTGAAAAAGTCTCCATTCTAACCCTCTATAATACGACTCAGAGAAAACATCACATTTGAGGCATTTATGACAAATCTCCCCAATCTAGAGGTTTCCTACAGAATCCGGAGGCCTAGAGCCATTTGCTGTTCTCCAGCCGTAGCCTGAAAGTGGCGCACTTCTAATAATGTCTCTTTGTCAAGCGAATCACGGAACTCTAAAAGGCCCAGATCTTTGTACACTGTGATTCTAGCAACACGAGAAACTTTGTATTTTAAGCATTTTTCTTGTGAGTAGCCGTTCCAGTGGCAGACTGTTAAAGTGCCTTTAAAAAGAAAAGAAAACCCCCCACCAAATATGGCCTTTTCAAAGATTGATCATACTCTTATGTTATATAATATATACATATGTATTACCCTTGCTCTCCTATTTTTTAAAAAAACAATCTTTGCAAGCTTTATTGTAAATAAAACAGCAGTGGAAAAAAAAGTAAGTGTCAAATCTTTGGCTGTTTCTTTATTTTTCGGAACAAGCTACGGCTTGTTTGAGGGGCCTCTTGCCTTTTTTTTTCTTCTTCTGTCTTATGCACAGCTTGCTTCTTGCTTTCCCACACTATGTGTCCTTCCTTTTGCACCTTCTATCTGCTTCAGAGTGGGGGGGGGGTGTTCCTTGCGTGGATAAACAGCTGAAAGAAAGGGTCACAAACAACCTATTTATCTTAAACTGGCACCATCAGCTTGTGAACAGGCATAAAGGTGTTTATCTCTGGATAGATCCAAGAGGACTACCTTTTGCTTAACTTTGATCTGAAAATACAGTGGTGCCTCTCTAGATGATGATCTTAAAAAAACTGGCACCATCAGCTTGTGAACGGGCATAAAGGTGTTTGTCTCTGGATAGATCCAGGACTCCCTTTTGCTTAACTCTGATCTGAAAATACAGTGGTGCCTCGCTAGATGATGATACTCCGTTCCACTGAAATCACTGTTTAGCAAAATCATTGTCTAGCGAAAAGCATTTCCCCATTGGAATGCATTGAAACCATGGATAAGCAGGTCTTACGTGTACCTACAGTTTCAGAATTGACTAAGTTTCATTCAGGGTTTGTAAAAAAGAGAGAGAGAGATTTTGAATGGACGCGGGAGAAGCCCGAAGCATCTATCATTTTTGCTGCATTTTGCTGTTTTTCCTTAACGCTGTTGCTTCTGTCTTGCTTTGTTCCTTTCTTTCCCGTCTGTCTTTCCTTCCTGACCCTCCCTGCCTTCTCCCTCTTCTTTAATGGGGGTCTTATTCCGGAAAAGCTACAGCCTCTATGACGCCAACGACCTTCCGCTGTGCGAAGCATACTGGAGGCAAGATGCCGCCGCGCCGTCCCCCGAGGGCGTTTACGTGCCTCTCGCAGCTGCAGCGATGGAGGCCAACGTTTCGGTTCCACAGGGCTCCACGCCTTCGCACGGCCACCTCAACGGCCACGGAGCGGGACCGCCGGAGCACGCATGAAAGGGATCCGGGCTCTCCTCGCCGTTGTTCGGAAAGACGCCAGCCATTGGGTTGAGTGGACGCTCTCCAGCCTTCCTGGGACCTCTTCGGCCATCTACGCCCCCCACCCCACCCCGCTAATCATCATCTTCCACTTTGGCCGGAGCAGAGAGAGAGCCTTGAACACGGGATGCTCAACCGCCAAGAGGCAAAGTTGATACCCCTATAGTCATCTTCTACCAGTTCAGTTTGATAAGCTATGACCCGGGATCGTATCCTGCAAATACTTTTTTTCTCTTTTTTTGCAAATGTTGATGTCCTTTGGCCACGCCTCTCTAATGACCGTCTGCTGCATGTTGAGTTTTTTTCCAGACGACTCAAGTCCCATTTGCATCCGGGTAGTGTCTCCGATCGGAGCAGGTGGGTTTGGGGAAATGCCCTGCCAAGTGTTTCTGGACAGGGCCCTCAATATGGCAGTCCATGAAGCGAAATCTAGGCTGTTTGAAAGCAATGCAAAAATTCTGATACACAGGTAAGGTTGCCAACTTTTTTCAGAACACGGCCAAAGATCCCGAAAAATCCACAACAACCATTAGATCCGGGCCGTGAAAGCCTTCACAAATGCATTGGCAACTTTTTTCCTGCTCCGATGCCTTAGCAGTGACTCGGCATGCCTATTGCATCACCCAGCGTTTAGCGCTCGCTGGAAAAATATCTCTACGTGTTCCTGTTGAAGGCAGATGAGCAGGACCGATTAAGCTGAAATGTGGCCAGTTTAGAAGTGTATTTAACATCCAAGTTCAACCTGGCCGTTAACTTGGAACTGTGTGTTTAAGGTGCTTTATTGTCCTTCTTAGGGGTAACGTTTTGTCTCATCTAAAGGCATTTTTTTCCTCCTTATTGTAACTAGACGGTCGAATAAAGCTGTAGGTTTGTGATGCTGTAGGTTTGGCCATTTATTTCCATTCCAAAAGGAAGGACAAATGAAGAATCATTGAGGTGATGTGACCTGGATCTTTAAAAATGGGGTGTAAACGATGGAGAGGAAAATGTCCCAAAATGTTTTTCATGGGGGTCCCAAAGTGTTCCAATCTGTGCTTTCCACCAGGGTTATTTCAAGTGGCTTGTATTGCGCCAAATTGCATTAGGTTGTCCTACAGACTGGGGTGGAAGGTCCCCCTATGGATTCGTACATCATCTATTTATCAATCCGCTTCAGTTTCAATGGATTTTCTTTTGAGGCATCCCTAAGGCTGACGGCACATATTAGTAACCGGGGAGTAAAGTCCCACTGAATGCAATGGAAATGTACAGATGTGGAGAGAGAATTGCACAGCAAATCTCGTGCAAGAAAAGGAGGATGGCATGTTTCATTCATTTCCAACTTTTTAATATTGCCCGCCATCCAAACTGAGGCTCGGGTGGCGTACGACCCTAGAACTCGCGTCCCTTGAAAACAACAGAAGAGGAGACCAGGTGGCATAGAGAAACCACAGAGGAAGAGACCAGACCAGAAGCAATACAGTACTTAAAAGGGCCTGGGTTGTGTGTTGGGTTGATTTATTTGTGGGGTATTTAATTTTGCTGGGAACCTTCTCCATATTTGGGGGGGGTGGTGTCACAAGGCCTTTCCATGTATTTATAACTGGCAGATATTATTAGGCAAGGAGATCAGGAACAGGTTTGGAACCACCAATCAAACCCTGCCTTGGTCCCCTTTTTAAGAAGGCAGAACATTAATGTAATTAATTCAATTTAAAACATGAAACCAGGATGGGAGTCTGTTAAAATGACTCTCTTTTGACAACAGGGGCAGGGGAGACTTAATGTCCGCCCAATGCTTCCGACTACAACTCCCATCACGCCGGCTAGAAAAGGGTTTTGAGACCTGAGGGGGCCAAATTTCAAAAAGCAACGCCCCTTGGTATAAAAGTTGAGGCGGAACCTTTCGCCATGGGCGGCGTTGCACCCGGAGCGCCTTCTCGGCCGTACCGGGCTGGTCCCTTCCTCCAGCGGGCCGTCACCTTCTCGGACCCGCCCTCCAGGCTGTGCCAGTAGAGGGCGGAGTCCAGCTGTCGTGGTGGGGATCGCTCGCCCGCTCGGCGATCGGCTCGTGAGCCTGGCGGCCGCTCCTTTGCCTCCCACGTGCGTTCCAGGGGAGAGAGAGATTGCATGGCTTAGGGGGGCATCGCCGAGCACTTGGGGGTGTGTGTGAGGATCTGGTAAGGGGGCGAGGCCTTCTCCCCTTTCCCTAGCCTTCCTTGAACGGATGGAGAGCCCCCTTCTCCAGCCCCACACTGGAGGGGGGTTTCTAAGGAGTCCAGAGTGGCCAAAACATTAATCTCCTTTTAATTTTATTTTTTTAAAGACCCCTTTTGCAGCTGCTGTGCCTCTGTGTATTGGATGTGAATGGAATCCATGAAACAGCCCACCTTGGATTTTCCATTTTCGGCTTCACATAGATTTGTTTTCTCTAAACAGCTTTTGCATCTCTATGCTTTTCTTTGAGGTTGGGTGGTGGAAGCATCTACTGATCCTCAGCCCCCTATATAATTTTTTGCCTATAATTCATTTTTCTTTGATTAACCAGGTTGAATTTCCACGGGAGGCATGAAAGCAATAAATGCAGACCTGCAGGTTCCGGCCAGTTTTCATCATCTCCTCCATAGAAGAACTGAAGAGCCGTTGAAGGGAACTGGCCAGATTGTCTTGAACAAAGCAGCTTTCTGTCTGTGAGAGATTCCTGTTGTGTGTGTGTTCCCCCCCCCCATCATCATACTTTTACAAGACGGTCAGAAATGGCTAGTTTAGTCAACAAAGACTCTTACCTGCAGAACTTGGCGAAGAAAATTTGCACCCAGGAAGTCCGCGAACCGAGAAAAAGGAAATTCGGTAACAATTCTGGAGTCTTCAGTTTACCTCTTTAACACAGTATTTTTAGGATCTGGGAGTCAAATAGCATTTCCTTGGTTATTATAAAACTGAAGGTTCTCTGTGACCTCTTTCTCAGCTAAATTTAGATTTGAAGAGCAAATTGCACTCTGTGGAGTGGGTCTTGTCTGTGAGAGGACACAGAAAGTGGCCCCGTCACACTCTTGCTGTCCCTCTGCTCCCCAAGGATTGGCAGCTTCCGGCCTTCCAGATGATCCAGTAGATTTCATCAGCTCTTGGTAGCATAGTTTGTAGTGAAGAGTAATGGGCATCACAGCCCGTTAGTAACTGTAGAGTTGCTGGCTTGCCCATTGGCGGTCTGAAGTCACTGGCCTTGTGGTTTCAACTGGATGTCTCTTATTTTAAAAAGTCTGGTAATGCCAAAATTGGAGTACTCGGTACAGAGCATAGGCTTAAGCTATTTTTGTCATGTACTGTTAAGTCGGAACCGACTTACAGCAACCCCCATTGGGCTTTCCGGCTAAGTAAGATATTTAAGGAGTGGTTTTACATGTTCACACACCGCGAGTTTCCATGGCTGAGCCAGGATTTGAACCCAGACCTGCTGGGTATGATGCTTCAGACCACTCCTTAATTTTTAAAAAAATCAAATCAGGTCATTGGTCTTTCAGCTGGTGAAGGCTGTTTTTTAGCCTTCCTTGCCTTCTCACCTCATCCTTTTAAATTCGAGACAAGATTTTAGACCTTTTGTGGGCAGTGCAGACTTCCTCAAACAGACAGCTCACTCCCAAATGTATGCACGTTACAACTTTTTCCCCGACCTCCGATCTCTGTAAGGTGTCAAGTGTGTGACTTTCATCATCTTCGGCTCTTGGCCATGCTAGCTGGAGATGAAAGCTTTTGCCCCTGGGAAAGGCTTTGAAATCATGGCTTCCAGATGTGGAAAGACAACACCTCTTAAGGTGTCTTGGGAAGAAGTGGGTGTGAAAATATGTCACATTAGTGGATGTTTTAGAGGCAGGGAAGTTGCCGCTTTCTCATTTCACGAAACCCACTCTTTTCCTTTCCCGCCATCCAAGGAAATGCTTTGGGAGATGAGGGCTCTCAACCGAAGAAGAAGAAGAAATCGAAAAAGGTGAAGAAGCGAGACAGGATGGCAGGCGCTCTTCCAGACAAACAGGTGGCAGTCCCGGTCAGCCAAGGAGCAGCGGCTAAGCCAAGCACAAAGTCTGATCCAGCTCCACCGATTGGACCCGGTGCTACCAAATCAGCTACCGTAGAGGGGAAAGCGAGCAGAGTCCAGAACGCCAGTGCCCCAGGTAAACCTATTTTCATAGCCAATCTGGGTTTGGGAATGGCTCAGGTAAAGTCCTGGAAGCGTCCAGCCTGAGTGGGTTGTCTTGATGTGCAATTTTGGAAAGGCTGAGCCTCACGGAGCCCTGTCTTTTGGCAGCTGGGGAACGAGGTTTCTGTGCCGTTGCCCTGCTCCGTTTGGGTCTCATGTCACAGCCTATGCCTTTTTCCTAATACAGATGGGAAAAGTTCCTTTTCTGGCTTAACTCTCTTGCGACAGAGGCTGCATGAGAAGATCCAGGAAATCTCCGGTCAGGTACGATCGCTGGTGTTTGGGAGATTCTGGGCTTTGTAGTTCCAGAACCACAGATGGCACACCTCATTACCTCCTCATTTAAAAAAAGGATAATTCTCAAGGTCTGGAGGGAAAGCATAGATTTCGGCTACTTTTAGGATGCAGTTTTATACCTGCTTATCTAAAAGTAAGTGCCATTGAATTCCATGGGGCTTGTTTGTGGAGAGAGTTGCATAGTTTGGTGTCCGATAGAAATATATCCGAGGCTTCGTCACACTGTAAGCTTTACGCTGCCTTGGTCCGAAATGAAATAAGCCAGTTCTTGCAGAAGTATGGATCTCGAAATGGGGGTGGGGATTAAAACTGCTTGCAAAACATTGGTTGAATCCTTGACGCAAGATGCATGTGAGTTTAGAATGGAGCCAACTCAGCATTCAGAGCTGTGAATGTGGTACATTTCTGCCCTGATGATTGGGATTCTTGACAAAGGGAATGGGCAACGCTTTTTGGTTTTGTTGATGGGTTTAAAACTAAACCCAACCTAGTGTGCCTCTGAGCTAAACTATGGCGTTCTCCTCCAAAGCATACTGCTTTTTTTCCTTCTGCTTCTTGCCTCTTTCAGGGAAATGCCAAAGAGTTGACCCCGGCTGTGCTACAGAAGAGGCAGCGAAGGAAATATGAGAAGGAAAGGAAGAAACGCCGAAGGAAAGAGCTGAAGATGAAGGAGAAGATGGAGAAGAAGGAAGCCGAGGAGACAACGGGACCGGCTGTTTTGGAAACCGAGACCCCCAAGGAGGAGATCAAGCCCCAGCTTGTCTTTAACAAGGTGGACGTCGGGGAGGAGAAGATGCTGAGCAAAGCCGAGAAGAAGAGGGAGAAGAGAAAGGCGGTGAAAGGGAACATCACTCCGTTGACGGGGAAGAATTATAAGCAGCTCCTGAGCCGGTTGGAGGCTCGGAAAAGCAAGCTGGAGGAGCTGAAGGACGAGAACAAGGAGAAGGCCAAGGAGATGGAGATGAAGCTGAGATGGACCAACGCTCTCTACAAGGCGGAAGGGGTGAAGATCCGCGATGATGAGGACCGGCTTAAGGCCGCTCTCAAGCGCAAGGAGAAGCGCAAGGCTCAGCGCCAGAAGCAGTGGGAGAAGCGGACGGTCCAGGTGGTGGAGAAGATGCAGCAGCGCCAGGAGAAACGGCGGAAGAACCTGCAGAAGAAGAAGCTGGCCAAGGTGGAGAAGAAGAAAGCCAAAGCCCGCAAGAAAGGGCGGATCCTGCCCGAGGATTTGGAGAAGGCTGGCTTGAAATGAGCCGGACTCGGGAGCGCTTTCTCCCATCTCCCTTGGGAAGGCAGGCTTTCGGATTGAACCTGTGAATAAAATTATTTTTTTTGGGGGGTGACCCCTTCTGTCTATATCTGTGTTGTATTTGTGGACCGGGAAGTGCCGCCATGACCTCAGGGGAAGAAGGGGAAGCCCTGTTGGAAGCAGATGGGGAACCCCAGGACGTTGGCGTGAGAACGGCAGGATCGCTCAGCGGTTTGGGGGTTCAAAGAAGAGCAGATCCAAAGATGATAAAGCAACAAGGAGGGAGGGAGAAATGCTGTTGTTAACATTTTTATTTGGATTTAAATGGTAGAATTTTGTTATCTCGATTTGATAGATCTTAAATGATTATTAAGCTGGATGGAGGCGGGTGATATTTTGGGGTTTTAACTTCTAAAACAGCATGTTTTTAAGAGGGGAAAATGGGGGGATGTGGTAAATGTCTACCCCCACATCCGCCCCGCCTTCCTTTAAAGGGAGGCTTCCAATGACCAGGGAACTCAGCCCATGCTCAGAGTTTATTTGGCCTTCCCCCTTTTTCCAGGGAGGGGAGAGGGGGGGAAAAAAACAACCAATGCATTTAGAATGATTTATATTTGTTTTATTTGTCGGGGCCGAAACAAGCGACTGGGCGGTGATGGGTCTCTTTCCAGCTTTGCAGTTCTAACAGAATAGCTGGAAGTGGAGTGTGATTGTTGTATTTTTTTTTAAACCCGGAAGTGTCGCTAGGGGGCCTAGTCTCCATGGCAACGACGGAGGGACGCTGCGCCGGGGGCGGCCATGTTGAATGCCGTCGGTTCTCGCGAGAAGAGTTTCCTACGCCCGCCATGCGCTTGGTTGCCATGGCGACGGAAGAGAGACGCCGAGCTGGGCCTAAGCAGGCCAGAGGCGCCTTTCGAGTTGGGAAACGAGGGACCCTCAGGTAGGGCTGGCCGGGAAGGAGGACGGAGAGGGGGCCCCCGGACGGAGGCGTTGCGAAGGGAGGCCCCACACACGCCATATATCGCTTCTTCAGCCGTGTGTGTGTGTGTGTGTAAAAAATACTACGGACGCGCCATATATCGCTTATTCAGCCGTGTGTGTGTGTGTGTGTGTGTAAAAAATACTACAATATCTGCAAAATACACACACACGGGGGGAGGGGGCCTTCAAATATTATTTGCATTTTCACAGCATGAGGTAAATAAATAAATAAAATGCAAATTGGAAAATATCCAGGCCTCGTGCCTTTTTGCATGGCACGACTTTGTATATAAAACAAACCCACAAATACTTTAAATGCAATTTGCAAAGCGTCCAGGCCTCACAAAAGCAGGCTTGCCAATGATTATTAGGACATTGTAATTATCTGGCCCTAATTAATTAAGGTCTTCCGAATAAGCCAGGCCGTTCCTGAGTAAAAGTGTACACAGGAATCCCACTGGAGGCCTGATAACAAGTTACTAGTCCTCAGCGGTGTGTAAACAGCCTTGGGTCCTTTTCATGAGAAAAGGCGGGGTTCAAAATATTTTTTGGTATTTAATTTTGATCGTAATTAATAAAATACTTAATCACGGTTAGTTTTAAAAATATTTTAAATATAAATATTTGTTTATTGCAACGACAGGGAGGTAAAACGGTTACAGTCAGAGGCCGACTGATATAAAAATAAGAGGCAGCGAGAAATTGGAAGGACTCTGGGCTAAAACCAGGACTGAGCCCCAAAAATATAACGGCATAATCTGAACAACTCACTAATTTTGGTATATTTTAATTTAATCACAGTCAAGCACCACCTGATTAAATGATTAATCTGCCTCATAAGTAAAGTGTGGATTCAAAGGCATCTAAAAGGACTGATTCAAAAGTATCTAACATGCATATCTATTTGTTAGGTATCTCGCCCTAATTTTAGCAGTTTTTACCGGTATCTTTAAAATTTTAAATAAATCTGAATCCAGTACCGATGGTGATTTTCCTGACTAGACTGTGAGGGGAATGACTCATATATTAGGTGCCAGAATGTATACGTATAAAAAGTGTAAGGGTGTGTGTATATTGCCTCTCTCTTTCACTAATTATTTTAACTAACGCTATGCTTCCAGTGTGTTATATAGTGGATAGAACAGTGGACGAGGACTCTGGAGAACAGGGTTCGAATCTCCGCTCAGCCATGGAAATTCCCTGGGGTAGTGGAATTATTTTATTTACTTATTTATTTATTTGATTTGTACCCCGCCTATCTGGACCAATGGACCACTCTTTGAATTGGTCAAAACCACTCCTCAAATCTCTCACTTTACCTTATTAAGGTTGCTGTACTGTAAGTAAGTTCTCACTAAACACCACAGAACTCACACATAATGCTTTTTCATCAGATTTTTCTGTTTAATTTTCTTTTGTCTGCCTTCTC